ATACCAAACGGCCAACCTGTACCATAAGTAGCTAATATTTGCAATATAATGTCAAATTTTTAATCTATCATTTACTTATAAATACTTTTAAAATCAAAGCCACATCTATGAAGCTTTTCACTAAGATATTATTAAATTAATATACTTTTATATACTTCTATCTAATTTTTCTTATCTTTCTAATTACTAATGTAAATATTAATATCTTTGTCATAGTCTTATTATTTTAATCCATGTTGCTTGCAAATAGTTAGAATTTGAAAACATAAACAAAAAATAAATGTGATTGTTTATTAAAAATTTTAGAATTTTATTTTTTCTATTTTTTGTTGATTTTGTTCTTCAAATAATGTCATAAAAAAATTAAAAATTAAATTTAGATTATTCAAAATTTATAATATTTTTCTATTAAAGATGTAAATTAAAAATAATTACATCCAAATAGAAGTATGTTTAAAGATTCTAATTAAGTGGTTTTGTTAAAAGAACAAGAAGAATATAACTTTAAAAAAAATTACTTGTTATAAAAATCTTCAAACTTTTATTCTTGTTTCATCAAACTTCTATTATACACTAACCTTTGGCTCTTTTATACTTATAATACAAAAAAAATTGGATTCATCTGTGAAAATAATATATATACATATATATATATATATATATATGTGTGTGTGTGTGTGTGTGTGTATGTGTGTATGTATGTTTCTTAATCATACAACTTCTTGATATTAATATTAGACCTCATTTTTTTACTTTTGCTTTAATCATAGGAATAATGCTTCTATGATTGAAATTGCTAGTACTTAAAAATTTTGCTAAAAGAATATCAAAATAATTATGAAGATTTCTAATTGTTGAAAAATTATTCTTATCATTATCAAGTGAAGTATCTATAATTTATTTTTTCTTCTATCACAATAATAAAGAATATTAATAAATATACAAGTCAATTAAAAAAAATAACTTGCAATCTCTAATATTAAATTAAAATTTCTATAAAGTTGGTAGTCTATTCTTTAAAATATATATACAATTTTATAAAATAAAGATGTTATTTTAAAGGTAGGTAGTCTACAAATTTTAAAAACATGACAAATATTTCATGAAGTAGAATAATTCATTTACTTCTTTAGAAAAACTTATAATAATTTAATAGTCTTATTAAATCATTTTAATAGAATCCAATAGATATTATTTTTAAATATCACTAAAAAAAGAAAAAAAAATTACAAGATAGAAAATAATTGAAATAATTATTATCAAATAAAAAGTAATTATGAATCTTAAATTAAAAAATGAAGAAAAGAAAGATATTATTAAGACTAAAAATGGTCTTAGTTTTGCTTATATATATATTATATGTAAAAAAAAAATTATAGATGCTTTTTAAAAAGTATAAGGCTTGTGGTTCAAGCATCAAGTTTTAGGTTGCTATCAATACAACTTTTAAAAAGTAAAAAGCTTATGAAATAAGTCTCAATAGCCTTATGGCATATCTATAAAATTCTAAACATTAAATTTGCTTTAGAAAACTCTTGTAAAGCTTTTGTAAGAAGATATTTTCTTCCAAAAATGTTTCGACATACTTCTACTTGCTTTAGTTTATTTTTATTTCTATAAATAATATGAGTATTCAATACCATAATATTATTCAAATTATAGCAATATATTATAAAGTAGATTTTTATACATTGCACTATAAATCTTTTTTTTTGTTATAATATGATTGGTAAATTTAAAAATTCTCTCTCTCTCTCTCTCTCTCTCTCTCTCTCTCTTGCTATATATATATATATATATATATATATATATATATATATATATTTATTTATTTAAAAAAACTTCCTATCTCTTAAATATTAAAGTATAAAATCATGATATATTAGTTTTTTTATTAAAAAAAAACTTTTATTCCTATATAAATATATTTATTATTATATCTTACTACATTAAATATATATATATATATATATATATATATATATATATATATAAGTTGAAAATACTATTATGATTCAGATATAATATTTTTATTTATTTTTTAAAAAATATTTTTAAAAAACCATTTATTTCTTAAAATTATAAAATGCATCCAAAATATTAGACTTTTGTCTATAAAATTTTATACTGTGTGTGGTGATCTCACTAAAAAATACTAAAATCAATTCAAATAAACTCTTTGAATCTCTCAAAAAATTATATGAGATAAATAAAATAAAAAATAAAAAATAAAACCTTCTAATTGATTGCATCACTTATTATTTTCATCAAAAGTAAACAAAAGTAGTTTCTATGCAATGATTCACAAGACCCTTAATTTCATTAATTCTTAATTCTATTTAATTTAATCAATAATAATAGACTTAATATGAAAATCCACATGAGTGAGACTAAGTGGAGCATATTTATATTACAATGCTATTATAAGAATAATATTAAGACTTATTTATAAGTATCTTTTTTAATTGTAGTAGTTGAACTAGATGCTATTTGAATTTGGTAGACATCCTTTATCTCTATATTTGTTTTGCATGAGGATTGTGGTTGTTGTGATTGTAGTGCTACTTACAACAACAAAGGTAATGATGCTTTGGATTTGCTAGAAGCTAACATTGGCATTAATGATAGAGAATTAGATGGACAATATTCTGTAAGTCTTATCATCAATATGGTGATGTTGTAGTAGAATTAGAAAGGTAATAAAGAATTTAAGACTAGAACTTTATCAATATGCTTACACTTGGTTGGAAGAAATAAATTAATTTTCTATTATTGGTTCTCTATAAATGCAATCACAAAAGAAAGAAGAAGGACAAAAAATAAAAATATAAAAAGTTTCCAACCATTGATGAACTATTTCAAATCTTGTAATTGGAGAGCTTGAAATGCCCTATGAAATCTTAAGTTATCAAGGTGTAGAAACTATCATCTTAAAAGCATCCATAACTTTGATTATTTTCTATCTTAAGATATTATAATGAAATTTCTATTTGATGATTTTTAATCCTCTTCTTTGCAAAATTGTTACATTCATCAATAAAAATGGCTAGTATTTTAAATGGTATTTTCCAAGCTATTAGGCAATGGCCTTTGAAGTCCAACATAAAAGGAATTACAATAAGTATGCATGTTGCACATAATGTGGATAGCAATCAATTCTCTTATCCACTTTCATTATTTTTTTAAGCTTGTTTTTTATTTATTTGTAGTTTATTTTTGTTTATTTTTCTTTTCTTTTCTTTTCTTTTCTTTTCTTTTTTCTTACTTCCTTCCTTCTTTTTCTCTCTTTCTTTGGACATGTGACAATTATCTACTATAAAAAAAATCATCTCTATGCCACCTTACAATCTTTAAGAAAGAGATAAACTTTGCTACTATCACTAAGAAAGAATTGTAAATCGTACAACAATGTGTTGATCAACAACAATTATATTCACAAGTTGGTGCTTGATTTATTGAAGAGTATGTAGTATATATGAACTTTTAAATATATCCAACTTGTTTTAGAAAAACATTCCTAATGGAAGAATTTGATGCTTATTGGTTTGTTAATGTAAGAAATTTTTTAATGTGAGAACCAAATTTGCAATTCAAGTGATATGGGTGGCAGATTCCTTGAGAGTAGTTGCAAAAAAGAAGTTGAAAGCAAAACTAGGATCAAAGAAGTAAGTTCTACTAGACCATTTAGTACCATGGATATATGTGCATTGTGTTTGAGTTTCTTATGGAAAATTTGTAAATACATCTTTTTGATGTTTTCTATGTACTTGCAAAATAAAATTGTATGGAGTATGAAAAATAAAATTATGAATAGTTAATTGAACAAAATTAACTTATTTTTTGCATATTTTTTTTGTGACAATGGCATAGGTTCAACTAGTGTTTTACAAAACCCAAGAACAACTTGTATACACACATAGACTCAGAAGCTTTTATCCTTGTCAAAAGAAAGCAACACAACAAATTGTTTCTATAATAATAAATATTATTAATATTATTATTGTAAATCTTGGTTACTGAATGAAGATCTTATCAATCTGAGGGTGTTTTGTTTGTATCAGCAATGTCAAACTAATCCCATATTAAGTCGCACAAAATGGTGGCGAGAGAGAGAGAGAGAGGGGATTCGGGCCCAGTTTGACCAAGTTGTGAGGGAGGGAGGAAGTTGGGGGGGATTTTGTTGGAAACTGCGAAGAGGGGGACTCCGAGCAGAGTGGCGGAGATGAAGGAGCCCAGCCCAGCCCAGCGGGAGGAATGGAGGACGACGACGAAGACGACGAGCTTGAAAAGCGTGGGGGATGGGGGGGAGGGGAAGGGAAGGAATAAGGAGGGGAGCGCTACGGAGTGAGTTGTCCGGTCCGGAGGATATGCGGGTAGGAGGAGCCAGTGAGGGATGAACATGCGGAAGACAGGGAGAGGAGCCACCAGGGATGGCAGAGCAGCTGATGATATCATTGTGTGGAAAATCGGCGGAGATGGGGAGATTGAAAGATAGACAGATAGCAGGAGGGAGGAGCGAGAGCAGGGAGGGAAGGACCAAGTAATCGTTGCCTGACTATGTCAACAACGGTAGCGAAGGAAGGCAAAGGAAACGGAAGGAATGAAGGGAAGGGGAAGGGTGACCAGTTTTTGGATGTTTCGTCGTTGCTTTTAGGGAGTATAAAAAAAGGCTGATTATTTTTCTTTTCTCTGGTGCCGCATGATTGAGGCACTTTAGGCCAGGCAGGAGCCTCCATAATGCAGCGAGGGCAGTAGCAATGCATGCCCTAGACTGCTACCTCCCTGGGACTACGCTACCACCCAACCCAGTCTGCGATGGATGGCTGCTTGCTTGCTGGACTGGTTCTGGAAAGCGGGCGGAAGGGGAGGAGGGAGGGGAGAGAGAGAGCGATATACAGTATTGGTACCCGGTGATGGTGGTGGGGCCCGTAAAAGTAGGGGGGGTGTTGCGGCGTCCAACGGCTACAACAGCAGACTGACTGACTGAGTTTGCCAAAGGGATGGAAGCAGTGCGGCTCTCCCTGGTTCAGGTGGCCACAGAGGCAGCAGAAGCGCGACGGACCTGTTCCGGTTCCTGTTCTGTTGTTGTTGACGTTAGCAGTGATAATAAGTGAGGCTGCTTCTCCTCACTCTGTCGCCCTCGCACGCTCTCTCACGCTCTACACCGCGTTCTGCATCTCTCCCAACCCAGCTTCTTCTACTCCTCTACTGCTTCCTTCAGCCCCTACCTCTCCTACCTCCTTCATTCACCCCACCCCACCTCTACCCCCTTCCCCCCTGCTGCGTTGCCTCTCTTGTGGTGCCTCCCATTGTCTCTCTCCCCCTCTTTCCTTCCTCATGCGCCACTGAGCTCCTGGGGATCGCCCTTGCTCTTCGATGGGGCCTAAATGTGCGTTCCTCCTCGTGCACTGCCTCTTCCTCCTGCTGCTTCAAGGTGAGCTACGCATCTACGCCCCTCTCCTGTGCTTTGGGTTGGTCTTCTTTCCCCGTTGGTTTCATCCTTGCTTTCGTTGCATCGGGTCTAACCTGCTCTTGAGCTCGAGGTCTGGTTAATTGCATTGCATTTTGTCTAATTCGCTGTCCCATGCATTTGGGAAGCCGTGCCGTCATCTGCAATGTTGAATCTCGCAATGTCTTCTACTCTACGTTCTTGTCTTCAGAATTCTATGCCTCACTAGCGTAACTGAATCGGATTTGATTATTTCAGCGTCTGAACTCGGTCGAAATATCTGAGTTTTCAAGGACTAGCCGCCGACGTTAGGGTTCACACTGTCTCACCTATGTGATCGCGGATCGTATCGTTCTAATTCAATTCGTGTGACACCTCACCCATTATAATCTGTTAGGCAATAGTTTGCTGTGTTGGAACCCTTCCAAGAACGGCCATTCGGATCCCATTAACTGTAGGTGCACTTGACCTCATGTATAATCATTCTTTACCTGCTAAGGTAGATTCCTTTGAATTTATAAATACTTCGAATAATGACGTCCTTTGATGTACGCCTCGGATTCCTTGCGTACAATGCGGCTCAAGATTTAATGCGTTGACAATGGTCAAGTTGGTTGATTCATGTGTGGGTAGTTTTTTACTAGTGAATCTTGATTTTCTCATAGTGGACATTGATTCACACGAAAGTGTGAGCCGTGACGGACGCGTGAGCTGGCTCGGTAATCCACGACGGCGAGGATATGTCGCATTGGGAGCTAGTTGGGATTTGTCTGAACAATCACCTATCATTATTATGTAGTAACTGTAACCCTTTCTGCGTGCGCAGGAACAGTGGAAGCTGGTGTTGTGAAATACGGCCTTGAAGGCAGTCGAGAGGAGGCGACCTCTCCAGAGGAGGTGGTTAGGTTGCTCAAGAAACACTCAGTTAAGAGAGTCACGTTCTTCGGTGCCAACCCCTCGATCCTTAGGGCCTTGGGGAATTCCTCTATCAATGTGAAAATTGGACTCTACAATTTTGAAGCGGAACACTTGGCTGAAGACTCGAACAACGCCCTTCAATGGGTGAGGACGAACATATCACCGTTCATGAGAGACACGAATATTACTGGACTGTATGTGGGTGCTGACGTTCGCTCACAAATGGTTCCGCTCGCTATGCATCTCGAGCTGGCCGTGGGAAATCTTATAGATGCTTTGGGGGAAGAACAGCTTACCTCTCGAATCCAAGTGTCTTTTTCTAGTTCTATGTCTACATACAGCGATGAGTTTCCTGTCGCAAGCTTGCTAACCAGCAAGATTGGACAGAATCAAACGTTTGTCATTGATATCAGGAACTATTGGACGCCAACATTTACGAATCACAGACGGCTTGGCGATGGCAGGGGGTTTGTTTGGTGTGTAGTACGAAGGGACGCTAACGTTTACGACGTTCAGTCTGCTCTGAATTGGGCTTGTGCTAGAGTAAATTGTGGTCCGACATATGCAGGTGGCAGATGTTTCATTCCCAACAGCATTTGGGATCATTCCTCTTGGGCTTTTAATGCATATTTCAACAGCATGAATGGAGCTCCAGAATCCTGTAACTTTTCGGGCACTGCCTACATTAGCTCGAACGATCCAAGTAAGTACTCTGATGCTGCTTTCCCAATTGAACGGTTATCACATGCTTTCAATACACGATCTTGCTGGTATTGTATCACAAAGCGGTCGACTTTGCAGTGATAGTCAGCCTTATCCTTACCTCTAGATTTTTCGCATGCGCGTACTATCAAGTCTCATGTGCATTTGAACTGGTTGAAGAGCGCTAGTCTGTGCAGTGCATCACCTCCTAACAGTAGCGTAAAATCGTCAGATCATCATGCTGAGACAACGTGATGCTCATCTTCGCCCGATGTGTAGGATTCTAAAGTGATTTGCACTCGGACATTAACGTCCCTCTGGGAGGTTTGTAGTGTAAAGTCTAGACCTACATTTGGAATCTCCATTTCTGACACTGCAATGCATTCTAATGGTAGTGGTAGACATCAAAATCGAGGAGGGTTAAGTTTTAGTAGGAAACTGCCAAGATCTTTCATATATCTAAGCTGCCCTGTTCTTTGGGATCCTCTACCAGCTTAATGTAGTGCCTTTCTCGGCACTAACGACGTGGTGGGCAGCTTCACACTTCAGCTGTAGTGAAATACGTAGTTTGTAGTAGCCATTCCCATCTATCACCTACTGGGTAGGTCTAGGTGCCTGTTTTCCCCCTAATATTCTCTTTATTGTTTACTTTGCATCCCCGCTGCCGTTGGGGCTGAATTCGCCAAGAGAGTGTTTGCATTTGAAGGGTCGTTTGGAGAGTTCATTTTTTCGAGGCTCTATTTGTACGAAGAGTTACTCCGACGCTGGCAATTATTTATATAGTGTCTACGACCTATGGTAATACCAATTACCGTACTGGACATGGCCGATCTCTAAACCCAATTCTATCTTGTATGTGTTCTGCAGGTTCGGAGCAGTGCTTCTACCAAGGCACCAACAGGTAAAACTTCCAGCCATATGTTAAAGTTGAAGTGACTTAGTAATCATTGTAAATTTCCTGTCGTAGGCGTGCAGGATTCACGTTCGATTATAGTGAGGACATGGGGAAAAAGGTTAGCATAGGAAGCCGTGCAATAGAGTGTCCATCCAATGTATACTAAACCCAGGAGGATCATCCTCTGCGGAAATGAAGATAGATTTACGGAATCTTTTGATCTCATGCGTTTTTCCTCTGTGTGCAGAGCCTTGGTCGTCGGCGCTGCCAACACGCATGTAAGGACAGTAGCGCTTTCCCTCACAGCCTCCCTCTTCACATACTTACTAGTGCACCTCGTTTTGTAGACACAAGCTCAATTTCAACAGCAGTATCCACAGCATGGAACCACTAGCTTGATACATCATTTGTTTCTAAAGGGATGCAGTATGGCCAGCACATCTGATTCTTTCCACTTATACCATGGTGAAGTTGAGATGCCCCACGGCTGTCTTCAGTGCAGCAGCAACCGGGCTCTGTGATACTCTGCTGCATGAAGTGATGTGGCTTCTGTCTTGTACACACATATTAATTACTTGCTAGGAAATCCAATGACGTCATTTTGAGACACTTCCATCGAAGTTCACTATAATGCCTCGGTAACTTAGTGTTTTATTACTTTAGTTCCAATTTAACCTCCTTCTTGTACTTCTAAGGAATTTACGTGTTTATTTCATCAATACCTAACATGAAGTTGTTTAATTTCGAGAATGTACTTCTCATTGTTGTCTTCAAAAATCGAATTCTATCCTCAAGGCCTCGGCATATTCAATTTGAGCACGGCAATTATAGTCTGTACATATCCACTCATCTAGCAAAACCCTAAGTTTGTTGATATTCGGTGGTAAATATGTACATGTAGTTTATTTATGTTACAAGTGTTGATTTGTAAGATCTTGTGCAAGCAAGTGCCATTCTTGTCTCTCGAGACAGAACCTTTTTGTACGATATCTGCATGTGAAATAAGTCCTCTATTTGTAAATAAGCTCCATGTGCACCACTTTCCACATGCTGTGTTGCAAGTGCAACTGTGTACTTTCAAGTTGAAAAATTCTACCCGCAATGTGCGTACATTTATTTGGTATTTTTGCAGCCATGCAGTAAGCATAGTCACTACAGGTAGAAATAACCAAAAGAATATTCTAACTAATTATGAAAAACATATGTGCAATGATGTGGAACAAATCTTCCAAACTTGTGTCAATGATCTTGCAAAGTATATCTTTTGAAAAAACAAATTTCAATAATATTTTACTATGGTTTTTAGTAACAATTTCTATAACTTTATATTAATTAATATGGAATAAATAAAAATGTAAATATCAGATGCTTATTTTGTAAATTATTTATCTATTACAATACTCCTTTCTTATGAAAAAAGAACACTGTTTTTTCATTAAAATTGTACATGTTGTAATAGGGATTTTTTTTCAACTTGTCCTCGAGAAAAAGCTAAATCTCTCCAGCCTAACAGAGTTTGTCTGCAAGACTTCTCCAGCCTTTCAATAGAACTTTCTACAAACCATTTCTAGCAACATTTTAGCAAAGAAAGTGTTTTATTCCTACCTTGCAGAAAAAACGCTTTCATCAGGTGATATTGAATCTTTTTTGCGTATTTGTTGGCTAAGTTGCAATCATTAAAGGAAAAATTGACTGTTTGATGGAGTAAAAAGTTTATCAATTTCTTACATTCTGTTGATGTTATTTTCTTTGAAAGCTTCTAGAATAAAAAATAAAAAAAAAATAGTATGAAAAATTATGATATTTACTATGATACAAAACTAACTTAAAAGAATTAATTACAAATATTAGACAGATGGATTCAAAATGATTAACTAAATGATCAATTAATCTTTGAACTTAATTACTATTATTTCAATATCAAAAAGATATCGCTCTTTCTTCTTTGTTTTATTGGTCTAAAAATTTTATGAATTTTATGGTATAAGTAAAGTATATCTTAAAGCTTAATAAATCAAATCATAAAATCAAATTTTTAAAAGGAAAAATACAAAAAAAATATTTTCATATCTATATATATATATATATATATAGATATATGTAGATATACATGTTGACGACAGTATTGTATTTTGTTTGAAGTCTTTTTTAACATATCTGTAAATTTACTTGAATAAGTAAATATAATGTATACTAAAATGATCATAAAATATAAATCAATAATTGTTTCAAATTAAAATTTATATTATATTCATACCATTAATGTTCTAAAAAATATACTGTCCAGAATCAATTTTTATTATATAAATTTCTTTATTCATTTACTAGTTATATTACTGCAACCTCTTACTAAAATTGCAATGGTAAAAGTGAAGGAAAAAAAATATATTTATCCTCTAAAATATATCAGGAAACATAAAATAAATCATATATACTTATTAAAATTTTCCAATAAATATATATTTATACATATTCAACCACGAATTAATATCTAATGAATTGCGTATTTCCATGCACAATACATATTTGTGTGTGTTTTTGAATTATTGGGCTTCTCAAGAGTGTATTCTTTACTTCAATATTACTATTATTATTCTTTGTGGAACCAATGAAAAATGTATAGGTATGCTTTTTAGTTGCATTGTATGCACCAAGATTTACTAGTGTATTGTGTATTATTACACATCGTTCACTTGCTTCAAAATATTACCCCCAGAAGCAAAGCAAGAAAAAACGTCCAAGAGGGCAGGTGCCTATGGCGGCGGGCACGGTCGTGACGATGGGTCCATCAGGAAATCGGTGCGTGCGGTGAAATTATACCCACTCGGATTGCAAGAATGAGGCGTCTTTATGAGCACAAGTGCCTGTTTGGATTAGCATCGCATAACATCATATCATATCACAATGGGACAATGCAACAACAACAACAACAAATGAGATCCTGCTCACAGATCTCAAGCTAAAAACCCCACTTCTAAGACCAATTACTGCACTGCGCAGCTAGAGTACAGATTTCCAGGTTGGGGAAAGTTCATCCTACTCACCAGACCTGCTGCTGCTGCTGCTGCTAACATGGAATTCAACAACAACAGCAACAACACACAATAAAGTTTCATGGGACGGCTCATCCCTACACAACACCAGATATCCATGTGTGTCTCTGGGTGTCAGGCACCGCCACTGGAATCATTTGCAGCTCTCGGCATCATCAGCCCACACTCCTGAGAGCGGGAGACAACTCGTGCGCCCAGAGCAGGGAGGCCCACACACCGCAGATGAGAACAATACTTGTGATGCGGTCGATCAGCATGCCAGACGAAGGGTTCGGAGCGCCGCCAGCCTGCGGGGCACTCCCAGGGGCGACGTGCTCGTGAAATGTGGTGCTCTCCAAGGCCACCATCACCGTGTTCTGCACCGTCATGGCTGTGCAATTACTGCCCTGGTACACTACCGCACCCGTTGACAGGTACTGCTGCAGACAGCTCCGCAAGTTATACCTGCATGTGTGATTCGGAAAGTTTGCTGCACAACCGCCATAACACTATTGTGAACGTTTGTAATACAGTGTTGAAGTGGTTTATAGGTAGTTACGTAAATTCTCACGCACAAGTGGCGGCAGCTGCCGACGTAATCCACAATAAGGACGTTCCAAAGCATGATATTGTCGCTCTTAGAGCACTCTAATACTACATAGACAATTGCCCATCCTGACTTCTTGAACCCTATATTGCAGTGAATCAGATGGAGGAGTGTGTGGAAGCTCAAATCTGACCAGCGTTGCGGCCGACGCAGAGATCATGTTGTTTGCAACATGCATCGAGGCGGTCACACGGTGATTGATTTGGACATCCTGAGTAACCCACTCCACAGAACTTCCCATACCTTATTTTGTGTACACCTGCGGATTCATTACACGGCATTGTAACGTTGAAACGCGTACACAGTATTTTTCTATCTCGGCATCAGCTATGAGGAACCTTCAGACTTGATCCTGACCCGAACTCAAGTAAGAAATTCAACTAAAACCATGCAAGGCTTACAGAGCTATCGTGACTGAGGAAAGAGACCATGTTCTAACACTGCACGACCAACGGGAATTGATTATGAGAGCATTTGATGCAGAAAGAGGAACATGCATGGCGTGTATCGTAAAATTTCCTGAGGTTGGGTGAAAGTCGCCAGCTTACTCTGGCAGTTGATACTCTCGCAGTGCTTGCTGCAACTCTGCGGACACCCAGTGAAGACAACGATTAATCCGGCAACTGGACAATTAGTCGAAAGTACATTTGAAAAATGCCAAAAAAGGGTAACTTAATGATGGTAGGAGACAGTGAAAGAGGAGGCACTCTGGTGGTGGAGTTGAGGATGAGCGCGGAGGCTGTAGTTGGCAACAGGATGGCGATGAAGAATGTCTGGAACATCACGGCGGCTCCCATCGTCCTGCCCATGCTGAAGCCGCGTTGAGATCCAACCAGTACTAGATGCGGAGCGAGCAGAAGATGGTAGCAGCAGCAGATACTGAGTAACCAACTGGTACAACTGGTGAAGTTTACGCTTTGATGGATTATTAGCAGCTGTTAATGGACAAAACCTGATAATGATGATGTTGATGTTCAGGTAGTTAGTTCAAGCCAAGAATTGGAACACATGGCGCTCCACCGAATAATTTTGAATTTGAGTGAATTATTGCTTATTCCGTTCCCCTGATGATGGAGTGTGTAAGCTGCTTCATCAAGTGAAGCCACTTCCACCAGTAGGGTCACTACCGATATACTTGAATTAATGGTTTTTCGTGGTTGAGGAAGCTCCTGAATAGCTTAAAACCACCGAAACAAATGATAAGTTATATTCCGATATGGTTGCGTTATCAGACGCTCAGTACAACATATAATATTCAATCTTACTTTTCTAAATTACATGTGCGTAGGAATTAAGTGGTAACTACTTCAAAAGGAAATCTCAATGACGTTAACTAGATTATCTATCGACAATGTACTCCAGGATTGTATGGAGTACACAAGCGGTCTATTCAAGCCCAAGATGCGACCGGTGAAACTGTGGTCGATACAAAAAATGGAATTATGGGCTCCTTGGCAACACAAGAACAGCTATATGTGCGCTTCTGTCCACACTCTTCGACGCCACATTCCCCAGCACCAAACTCTATCCTCGCCACTTATCACATGAATCTGCCGCCACTCTCCCGAGCACTTGGATAAGCAATCACTTATCCACAAACTTCGTTTTAGTTCCACCATCTGCCACAGCACATCCCCAGCATCATTCATCTCTTCTTTTATCTTCGAAACTATCGCAAATCCACATCAGAATTACCGTCAACAACTCACCTTCTACAGATTCGAAGTGTACTTCCCGAGTGTGCTCGGCGTCAATACGGTACTCAAAACTGCACACCCCGTTCAATACACCCACCAGCTTCGTAAACTTCTGGGCTAACTGACATCCACTCTAGAAGAAAGAAAATAAATAAATAAATAAACAAATATCCATGAAAATTTTCACAATGTTCAAGAAAGAACCCACTTCTCACTCAGCAGAAACTTGTACCTGTTGGAGAATTTTACTTGGAGTTCGTTCTCAGGTAAGGTGGTAGTGAGCTGCTTTACGGCTTCCACTAGAACAGTCACAATCTCTGATTTCCGCGTGCTTGCAATAAGAAAATCGTACTCACTTGGGACACTTACCGCCAAGAAATTATCGCTTAATTCACTCAAGCTAACTTTATCTATGTTCTGCACAAGCCATTCACTAGCCAAGTAAGAGGGTTGGCTTGTTCGGTGCAAGTGCAGACGAAGAGAATTTGCGACCAAGGTAACAGCACAGACAACACGTACAGGGAGTGCAGAAAAACAGCTGGGGAACACCTTGCCTGCATTGGGATTCGATGTTTAAGACGGAAAAACACGGAGTCAAGCATGTAAATTGCAACGTCGGTGACTATTAGCACACGGCGCACAAGCTTACATTTACGATTCACCTTCATAATGTTGTCAGCAAAGAGCACTTGCTTATCCCCTGCAAAAATAATTATATATGGTAATTGCTGAAGAGTATAGCCCTAAGAAATTATTTAGAAGAAAGGTAGAAAAGATAACTTGGCCATGGCATTACATCCAGACATTCCTAACATTGCCTGGCCGAAGAATGCAGACACGCTGCGTGGACTAAGAAAGATTCTAATGAGCAGAGATTGATCACACTAGTAGACGAATCACGGCCAATTGAACAGCCATATTATCTCATGAGCGTCACAAGCCAAGAATGAGGAGGGCGAGAGAGTGAGGCTACCTTGTTTGGAGAGCAGCTTGACGATTGTAGGGTTGGCGGGCACATCAATGTAGTCCGCGGAGTACACGCGGTACATGGAAGAGTGCCGACGAACTTTCATGCCCATAAACGGCTCCATGCCGTCCTCACCCAACATGGTCAGGGAGGAGACCAGAGAGACAAGTCCTGCAATCTAACAGCAACTCCAGGGAACAAGCACGCGGGCGGGATTGGGCAAGCACGGTACAAGCAGACACGACGAGGGGGATTGATTGCAAGGCGAGGTGATTGCAAAGACGCGACGAAGAGGATGATTTTAGGGATGCGATGGGGGATCAGAAGTGAGAAACATGAGGGCAATGCACTTGATTCAGCAGATCGGGCAAGTGGGTGCAGTGCGAATCACAATGCGACGCAGTGAGGGGAATTGGGTTGCACGGCGAATCGTGATCGGGGCAACAACGGAGGTGGGTGGGGGCGGAGGAGGGGCAGTGGAGAGCAGGAGCAGCACGACGAGGAGCACTTGTCACTACGTGTCGCAGAAACCTCCCAATTCAATCGACTGGCTCCGCCATTTTGGGCCGTCGGATCGAAGCTTCCGCTCAGATGCGATATCAACCGTCGATCAGATTTCCTTGGAAAGGAGGGAGGGAACGTATAGGAACCTGGGGGCGGGCAGGTTGGGAACTCAGAACCCTTTCCTCATTCAGCCCGCACTGATCCACATTCACATACATGGGTGCTGAATTTTATATATATATATATATTTAAAAAATAGTCATGATAAGATTAAATAAAAAATTACAAGATGATAAAATAAATATTGAACTAAATATAAGAGCAATATAAAAACAATATAAAAACCTGCATTGTAACTTTTGTGTGGTTAGTTTTGTATCTTTTAAAAACACATGCAATTTCTTCTACACATATACAATTGTATTAGAAAAGTTAAGATAACATGATTGAAGTTGTGAGGTATATTTAAGTTAGTTTGTAGTTGAATTTTGGTAAAAATTTATAAAATTCATTTTAATGTACGTTTAAAATTGAAAATACTATATTTACTGATGTAATGATTATATATATATATATATATATATATATATTTCGTGTACATAATGAGAAAGGTCATCCGATGTCATGCCCCGCTTAGCCACACAAAAAGTAAAAGGAAAGGGTCATCCCCCCCCCCCTCTGACCGAAATCTGCAAGTGTGAATAGGGTTTTCCATTTCTGCTGTATATTTTGTTTGGCTGGCTTGCCACTGTGACAACATTATTAGTGTTTTGTAAAATGTATGTAATGAATAATAAAAAATTAAAAATTAATGAACCACTACTAGAAAATTCATAAAAAAGAAAGATTTACTGTTGAGATATTTATGTTATTAATAAATTATATATTGAAATTACTCAATGCAATTAAAAACTAAATATTTCGATGATTAGTATGTTTATTCGTTATTTTATTCACTGTCCATTAACATGGTTTATATTTTACTTTCAAAAGAATCAAATGAATTTTGTGGTGCATTACAGAATAATTTTATTTAAATAATAAATAAAATAAACCTTGAGATGATTCACACTAGATTAGAAAAGTTCATGAATTTTTGCAAAGGTATTTAAGAATTATAAACAACAGTTAATTTTAATAAAGGAAGATTAGAAAATCGAATGTCTGTGCCAACACACAATAAAATATCTATATCACAAAACAAAAATAAAATAAAATAAAAAAAGAAACTTAGAAAAGCATAATATAAAATAAAATAAATAAAAGATAATATAAATAAATAAATAAACTCAATCAAATTTATACAGACACTTTTAGTTGCATTAGTACCTTCTCAAATGATCCCTTTTTTAAGAAAATTAATAAATAAGAAATAAAAAAATCTGGTTAATCTTTCATTTATACCGAGAAATAATTATTAAGTATTGAAAAAAGAAGAAAAAGAAAAAGAAGAGTCTAAGATATTGTAAGAATGCTTTAAACTACTAATAGAATTTGAAGTCAAAATTTTGAATACAACACAAAATTTATATTAGAACTGATGTATTTATGGGTGCCATTGAATATAACAAGGATATCTTTTATAAATATAATTTATTTTTAAAATTTACAAATAGAATAAATTTTTTATTTATGTAAATTAGATTTCTTAAAATCAATATTTTTAAAGAATAATGCTTAATTTTTAGTGTAATTGATCAATTCAGCAACTCAAACATTACACTAGTTTCTACAGATATTTGTAATAGTAAAAAAGAAAATAAAACTTTTTTTGCGTTTGAATTTATATTATATTTTTTTCTACTTATTGTTACAAAATGTCGGATTTAGCTTGGAGATCATTACAGGTACATTAACGCATTAAAAATTACGCTACAATATAATATCTATTAATTTAAAAAAAAACGATCAAATTCAAAAGGTATTGAATAATTAATCACATAAATTGTTGATATTGATGTTGTTTTATATATTTAGAAAAAAACATGTGTGTACATACCATAATGACAATTAAGAGTTATATAACATATCATGGACAATTTTTCTACACAAACCTCCAAACCTAACCAACAAATAATCATTATTGAGCTGATTGTTATCTGTAAGAAGTCCAGTTTGGGACAAAGGATATTACCCCCTCCTGCTGCCCTCAAGCACAATCAACAAGGCGCACATTCTAAATGAGATAATTTAACCTTTCAAAAGACAGCAAAAACTAAAGAGGACTTGCATACAATAGGAACTGCTCAATAGTTAGAATACTTTCGCTCTTGGACTACCTTCTTTTCAACAGATTTTGTACATACCGAGCTCTTCATTTGAATGATCATTTAGTTTCACACATTCATTCTTATTCATTCACATTCATTCTCCCGAATACCTAGGAGTTGACGCATACAACATTAACAAATCATTGGCATTTTCTAATACACTAGTATGACATAAATTATGACTAGTACGGTTTTAGAGTATTGTTTTGAATCCAGTTTCAGCAGAAAAAAACAAAGACAAAAAATAAAAAAATAAAAAAATAAAAAAATTGCAGATTTCTTATAACACTTTACCGGAATTAACTCAAAGCCAAGTAATACTGCTCAGTGAAACAACAGCATCAAACTAAAATAATCATAAGAGCAAAAAATACTTGGACCTTTAACAATTTGCCGATTTTCTACAAGCCACAAGAGAGTTAGTTTTGAGCACGTCACATTGGGGTCAAAGATAACGTTGTTGAATCTCAATGTTGGTCGAAAGTTGACAGATACCATCACAGTCACAGTTAAAGATTCAGCAATTTCGTGATGCATAGTTGGGGTGTTCAAAGTCTACATCTCAAATATATCTATATCCTTGCGAATTGTACGAGCATGTCATAAAACCATTCTAAGGCCCAAAATGACGTTCTACAACTGCAACTGAGCCCATGCATAGCTTTTGGGAGAAAAAAATTGGTTATGGATGCTACAGACAAGACCTGTTTGGGGAAAAAAATGAGACACCTCCCAACTAATATACAGAGGTACATGGGAAATGATACAGCGTTACAATATCCTAATCGGAAGCTGAGAATTGCACTTCTACAAAAAAACAATATGGTGGATATCGTTTCAAATATGACCTCTGCCTCCGCACCGGAGGCACATATGGTTTCCAGCCCCGCCGCATCCTGCAAGAATTCGTGTCTAGGTGTGAGAGCTTTGACTACAAAATGAGCTAAAAAAATCAGAATTCAGCAGAGGGTGAGAAACACGAACCTAGGCAACGAACTTTGACGATTATGCCCTGGCTCTCCAATATCGCATCCACATACAGCCCCGATCCAGCACATGTAGCACATTCCACAGCTCCTTTGGCTTCACACACCGGACATCTAGGGTTGTTCCCTATGGCCCGTAAACCTTTTGGCAGCCCTGTTGGCCTTTCAATCTTCTCCTCTGGAATGCCTGCAACGGAGAGAGAATGCCACAATTTAATACACGCGTGAATGCAAATAAAATTGTCAAGAAAACGACCAAGTAGGACATTCCTGGGACGAAAGTTGCATCAAAAAGGCCAAAAAACCGGCAGTCGCAACAAGCTACTGCATACAGGTAACGGCCAAGAGTAAGATTTCATTCATATATTTATCAAATTTCCCCTACAATTGAGACTGCTGATGGATTAGTTCCAGTAACCCATCTACAGCAATTACAACAAGAGCACCCAAGGATGCCGTTGAATTTAGGGTTTAGGAACACCTGAATCCGTGTAAAACAACGATTCCAATTTGCCAATTGTTTTATCGTTTCCACAGCTAGAATTAAATCCTGGTAAGTTGCCGCCTGGCTGCGTAACATGAGAATCGGAAAGAGTTAAAACAACGCGCAAAGCCCCTCAAAACATACCGAAACATGGCAATTGCAACGAACGTAGGGAGCAATAGTGCGTAGAACACTCCACAAGGGAGAAGCAACAGGCGAAACACTGGAAGGGAAAGGATGGGAACAAGGACGATGCCACAGCACAAAGGGGGGAAAGGAATGCAGCGGAATGAGAGGAGGAGCGAGGGAATAGAGGTAGCGATGGAGCGCAAGGCGAGGACAGGGCGAGGACCTGAGAACCCACAGAGCATGTAGTAGTGGTGGCCTGGAAGGTGTAAGAACGAGAGCGGGAGAGGCCAGAGATGAACTTTGCAAGGGCGAGCGACGACGGCAAAGGACGAGCAACGCAGGGGACGAAAGCCATGGCGGCCATGGCTGAGTGCAACACAGGGATACGCAGTGACTGGCCTTGTGCAGCAAAAACAAAAAGGATAGATCACCCGACGGATACAACAACGATCACAACGACGACGGCGATGAATCCGAAGAAGAGCAGGCTGCTGATGCGCGCAGCGCCGCGCTGCGTGGGTGCCTCCTCTGTCATGCGCCGCACGTCCCTCGTCTTCCTCACTTTCATCCATCCACCTTCGCGCACCTTCATTCGTCGACTGGCTTACCCATTCATCGCATGTCTCACTTCTCTGGTCATCCATTTTGTGGTCATTGCTCCGGGTGATTATTTATTCGTTCGTGCATAAACTCATCCCTTCTTTCCGTGTTGCCGATCTGGTGGAAACTTGTCCAGATGGAGACAACTGCTTTAAGACCTTGGATTTGGTATGTACACACACAAATACATGTTAAAATAAATAACTAAGGAATATTGGTCGTTCTCTGTATAAAGTACAATTGAAATGTTAAATTAAAAATCAGGTTAGAGTTTGGAAATACACAAAATATTTAATTGAAGTATGAATATAAATTTAAGGAAACTTTAAACATTGCACATGTAGACAATTCAATTCGAATACAACTAACTTTATAAAGCATACTTTAAAATAAAAAAAAGGTAAAAAAACAAAATTCGTAAGAAGTTAAGATACTTACTAAAACAATTATATTATTAAATGCTAAGTAAAAAATTATATTATTTTTTACTTAGCAACCACAAATTAAATTGGAATCCATTTAATTAGCATCTATTAAAAAATATTAAGAGAAAAAAGAAAAAAAATATACTCATATTAATGGAACCATTTATATATTTTTAGTATAATTAGCAAACATAATTTTTAATTACTACAACAACTTAAATAACTAAGTTAAAAGAATTTTGAAATAATCTACATTTATAGTAGTATTTTTATCTTCATTACTTTTAATTTATAGGAACTTAATCATACTTGGAAAAATAAAAATATGTGATATTGAGCACAAGAAAGTGTTTTAGTGTATTCATGCATTTCCATAAATTCTCCAACTTCCTATGGATTCTTGTATGTTTCTTAGCATTTCCTAAGTTTCTATGGATTCTTATGCATTTCTTGAGTGTTTAATCACATACACACACACACACATACATACATATATATATATATATATAGATATATATGCATTGTGAATGTATGTATTTATATATTATAATATAATATAATGTTATGGAAGCATATGATATTATTTAATAGTTTACTCATACATACATACATACATACATGCATATGCATTGTGAGTGTATGTATTTATATATTATAATATAATATAATGTTATGGAAGCATATGATATTATTTAATAGTTTACTCATACATATATATATATATATATATATATTAGATTAATTTTATTCAATGAAAAAAATCTATATTTTTAATATTTTTAAAATTTTAATGATTAGAATTTAAATAGAATATAATTCAAAATCAAAATCTAATTTTAAGTTATTAATATGTCTTCATGTTCAATTACAGCACTTCATTCTTTTTATTCTATGGACAATAGATAACATTACATGCTTGTAATTACACATCAATGGCAGCCAAATGTATACTTATTATAAAATTAGCATTTGTTAATATTAATGTATTACAACTTGATAACATAAAACTTAAGATCTTTTAATATATTATTCAAAAAAAGAACTTCAATAGAATCTAAAATGCTACATTGATTATTCATTCTGCTTCTAAAGTACATGTATGTAATCTACTAAAATAAAAAACAAATACTTTATAAGTCTTACATAGTCATTGAAGACATTGATGCATAACATGTTGCATATATTGGACATGTATGAAAACATACATACATATCTAATTTACTATAATTCATACATTTTCATATTATATTTTATAACTCTAATATTTTCATACCATTAGCTATAGATAACAACACATGCTTATAATTGCACATGTCTAGCTATTAAATGTAAGCTTAATATTTAATTAATATCTATTATTGTTGAAATATTACAAATTTATAACACAAAACTCAAAAACTTTTAATTTATCACTCAAAATGAAATTTCAATATAAAATTTAAATTTTCTTTGGATGAATTATTATGCTTCTAAAGTATATGTTTATAATATATTGAAACATGAAAAATGTGCTTCAAAAGTCTTCGATAAATACTAAAGATAATTCTTCAAAATATATGATATATTTTAGGCAAGTATGAATCTATACATATGCGCATCTAATCCATATACTATTGGATAAACCTTAAATTTATTGAAGCTCCTAATTTCAATAATACTTTAAAATTATTCTTATCAAAGTTGTTCTATTGTAATATCTCCTAACTATGTGCAAAATACCTTTAATATTGTAATTAGTACCATAAGCATAATCATTAGTAGCTATAATATTAATATCATCTTCTTTGAGCGCTTCAAATTCTATACTCACAAAAATAACATTATATCATCAAAAGATTGTGTTGCTTGTAGAATAATTCAATACAATCTTATCATTTGTTTCAACAAACATCAAAGAATTTTTGCAAAAGCTACTTTGAATTTAAAGAGTTTCAAAAAGGAAAGAAGGTTATTCAAACCTCACTATTAAGTGTATACTTAATTTTACTTGTAAGTGCATATTTAATTTTTGTAGCAATTTCTTCTTATAAGATTCAAAAATTAACACTTAAAAAATAATGACAATTGCAATATGCTACTTCATGCTCCTTCTTACTTTTTCATGGAATATATTAGATGTCATTTTATTATCTATTACCAAGGTCACCTATTAGTTTATTTTTTTATTTTTTTTAATTAAGTAGTACCTCAGAAGGTCTCTCAAAATTGACTTATCTTGATAGTCCTTAAAAATATCCAACTTGAAATTCTTCAAAAATGACCTCTGCAACATGTGATATTTTTTTATAATTTCAACAATCTATTATAGCCTTTTTTATTGCTTGACATCTTTTGGTTTAAAACAATATAAATTTTTTGTGTAGTACCACCATATTTAATCTCCTTTGCAATACATGACTTCAATAAAAAATGAAATTCTCTTGAAAATATCTTTGCTATTGCTATTTTACACACATCATTACTAAATTACATAACGCCAAGATAATTAGCTATTATGGATATCCATACTTACCTAAATAAGAAGTATTGAGTAGAAGGTAAATATACATATATTTGATATTAACTTGTGACAAAGCTTCTTAGATGCTTTACAAATACATATTTGATTTTATACATATTTATAGTTAATTGATATGTTAAAAACTTGGCAAACAAGTCATCCGTGTGTTGTATATATTGGTAGCTTGTGATACAAGTTTATTATATGATGCATGTAAGAAAAAATTGCCTTGCAAGTTAAGATATGTGTCTTATACATTAGACATATATTAGAGGTCTTATAGAATGTTGCCACGTAGCTCTTAGTTACATAGTATATATAAAAGTAAGAGTGAAGCCTTTTTCACTCTTATCAATGTCTTTTTATTCCTTAGTCTTATTTCAAGACTTTTTAGTCATCTTTTCTTTAACAATAACCATTCTAGTTTAATACTATATCACTTTTGAATGATTTTTTAATCTTTTGAAGTGACACAAGGATATATTGATCTTTTAGTCTTTTAAGATTTATGTTCTTAATAGTTTGATAATAGAATTAAATCATTAGTTTTGTTTTGTTTTAAAAGTGAGTGGATTATCTTATTTTATCCAAAGAAGCAATGTGATTTTAAAATGAGAAGCATTGTTGCCAAAAAAGATGATGTGTCAAAATATGAATTTTTTAACTATAGTAGGGATTATGTGGCTCAAATTCTGCATAATACCTAGTAAAAAAAACTATTCTTTTCTCAAATTCCTCACCTTATTTTACAATAGAAGTTTATTTAGGATTAAAAAATCACAAAGTCTTTGTTTTGTTAAATTTAAATATCTCAGCTTGTTTTTATAAACAAAGCCTTTGTTAAAAAATAAGAATATATTTAATGAAAAAAAAATCCATGCATGTAGAAGTCATAGATGATTATTTGTTATTCTTTATCAATATTATTCATAAAATAGTTCTTTTAGCAACTAAAGATCATAATAATTTTCTAATATTAAATCATGAATAAAAAACTCCATTTTATACTAAAAATAATTTTTTTGAATATAATGTCATACTTTTTAAATTCACGAATATATTAGTATGACGGACATACACATGTAAGCCAATAATTACATGTATAAATAGGTAGAAGTAAGTAAAAGTAAGTAAAAGTAAATTAATTCTATAGTATTTGATATGAAAGCTTCGTAAAAGCCTCATAGATGCTGCTTTGACTTTATAGGGGTCTTTAATTGAATTTTTGGATTAAAAACGTGGTCAACAAGTTGGCCATGTGCCACACATGTTGTTAGCTTGAAGACCAAGATAACTATGTAGCCCACACATAAAAAAAATTTGTCTTGTAAGTCAAGGCATGTGTCCTACAATGTCAACACATATTGGAGGTCCTATAGAACGTCGCCATGTAGCCCCTAGTTAGATAATATATATAGAGATAAGAGTGAAGCCCTCTTCACTCTTGTCAACTCCTTTCTTGCTTCCAGTCTAGTTTCAAGGGTCTCTAGTTTTCTTAACTTTTGGCAATAGCCATTCTAGTTTCTTTCTTAATATGTATATCAAGTTATTTCTATTTTGTCATCTTTCTTCGAGAGAAGTCTCACTTATTATTTGTCTTTATCATGTTCTTGTCCTTGACAACTAGTTACTTTTTAATATCGAATAAATCATGTCTTTTTAAAATTTCGTGATGATTTTGTCATCTATTATCTAAATGATATTTTAATCTACTCTAAAAGTATAAAAAACCATTAATTTCATATTTTTTATATATTAAAATACTAAAAAATATAAGATTATATTTCAAAATAAAAAAAGTTTGTATTTTATATTACTCAAGTTGACTTTTTAGAATAGATCAACTTAAACAATGGCATTATAATATATTCTAAGAAGGTTTAAACTATCATATATTAGAAAGTTTTCAAAACAATAAAAAATATATGACATTTTTTTTAAAAAAATTATTGATTATTATTAGATCTTCATCAAGAA